TCACAGAATTGTTACAAGATGAATTGTGAGAACATATGCAAAGGTCCCAGCGAGTACCTGACACATATCAAATACTTAATCAATGACAATTACCCCTTCAGATTAAATAGTAATAAAGGCACACCTTGGATGAAAAAGAAAGTCATTATTGAGACAGAATCTACTCTTGGTAAAGATTCTGTGAGCATTGTTAAAATGACAACAAAGGATTTAGGATATTCCGTAAACTTAGCTGATAAAGAAGCAGCAGGGTTTGAGAGGATTGACTCCAATTTTGAAAGAATTTCTACTATGGGCAAAATGCCATCAAACAGCATCTCATGTTACAGAGAAATCTTTTGTGAAAGGAAGAGTCAATGGATGTGGCAAACTTCATAGTTGTCTTCTTTTAAGAAATTGCCATAGCCCACCCCAACCTTTAGCAACCACAACCCTGAACAGTCAGCAGCCGTCAACATGGAGGCAAGACCCTCTACCAGCAGAAAGATTACACCTCGCTGAACACGCAGATAATTGTCGGTAATTTTTAGCACTGAAGTATTTTTAGATTAAGGTATGTATATTTTTAAGCATAATGCCATTGCACACTTTGACTATAGTATAGCCTAAACATAACTTTAAATGTACTGGAAAACCAAAATGTTCATATGACTTTTATTGTGATATTTGTTTTAATGTAGCGGTCTGGAACTGAACCCACCTCTCCAAGGTATGCCTGTAATTAGGGACTACTACATGACAAGGTAGATGACTTGCTCAATAAAAGGATTTTAACAACCATGCCTGTCCCAGACGCCACAAACCAGGAAAGAGCCACAGGTCCCAGACACCAGCCTCTGTTCCCCTGGCTGCTTACCGTCACGAAATGGTTGTGTCTGCATCTGCAGCCGGATCTTGATGAGGTCCACGGGCCCGCCCAGCCCGACAGAGACCACGCCGGCCACCATGCTGGCCAGAAGCAGGTCCGACAGTGTGCGGGGAGGACTGGCCTCGGGCTCCCGGCAGCGGTGCTGGCTGAGGAACCGCTGCGTGTTACTGAAGACCCCAAATACCACAGAGTTGTAGACAGCAATGCTGGCAAGCGGGAAGGACATGCCCTTAAAGAAGCCGAACACCTGCAGTGAAACCCAGTAGGAAGAGGCGTGAGGACTGGAGGCTGCCATCGCAGAGCCTGCAGGGGACAACACAGGACACATTTGCCCACGTAGCAGTGAAGAGACGGGAAGAGGTGCTGATGCGACAGTTGGCAGGGGTTGGGGGGCCGCTTGGGGGCAGGCATTCTTGCCCTGAGGACAGCCCGGCTTCTGCAGGCTGCTTTGTTTCCTGTGGGTGGTGTCCCGGCCTGGAACCCACACATGGCATGCATGCGGCCGGAGGGGCAGTGATCTTGGGCTGGAAAGAAGTCAGGCTGTGGCCGAGGGGGAGCCTGAGGAGCCGTTAGGGGCAGTGGGCTGGCCAAGCACCATGCATCCTCTCCTCATTTGCCACAACAAAAACATTCTCTAGGCACTCGCCAGGGGCCAGGCCCTGGGGAGCAACCATAAAAAAGAAATGGCCTCCACCCTCACTGAATTTATAGTCTGGAGAAAATGGGATGTGGAACAGACAAACTGACAGGCAGTTACAGCACAGGCAGTCTGCTAATCCTGTGGTGTAAGACAGGTTCCCCAGACCCCTGAGGGGAGCCTGCGCCAGCCTGTTGATGGGTGCCCATGAGCATGGGTGTCTCCTGACAGCAGTGGCTGGAGGGGCCACATAAGGACACAGGATGCACACACAGGCTGCAGGAGGCTGAGGAGGGGTTGCTGCAGGCTCATGGCACTTCCCTTCCACATGGCATTCTTGATGAACACCACAGATGTGCCAAGGAAAACAGGAAAATTCCACAGGCCCCTGGAGGAGTTAGGGCAGCACATGCGTGCCAAACATGAGAAAGTACTGGGAAGCCATTGTGCAGACTCCAGGCTGTGCACAAAAACGCTAGTCCTCACTGCACGCACTGCCAGAGGCAGGATGCCTCACACGCAACTGCACATGCACATACATGTGCATATATACACACATGTATGCACACACACATGTGAGCATATCCTGCTTCGTGTTCTTCTTCCATCACAAGACCCTTCAGAGTACTTGGGAAGTGGCTTAGCCATGAGCCACTATGTCTCAGAGAAACCATTTCAATCCCCACCAAAACCCCGGAGCTGGGGCGCAAGCTGGCAGACACTGCCGGGAACATGTGCCAAAAAGAGAATCAACAGCCGCTTTCAGGGGACTATGGAATCCCACAGCATTACCCAGGAACACCAAGTGCCAGCCTCGCAGTGCTCGCCCCAATTTTAAAGCAGCTGATCAAGAGAGTTACAGCAACACCCTGACACAAGATGCCCTTCACCGGTGGGAAAACTCTAGGTACTTGCAAGAGGCTCCTGAGCCCCAGGGCACTTGTTAGAATGGAGCCCAGTGGAGACAATGGCTACAGTGGGGCCACATTTCCAGGGACTCAGGGAAAAGTCTGAGGGCTGTGACAGGGTTCCACTTGGCGGTTTCTTTAAATCAGGTCATTCCATTCAAAATTCAAAAATTTATTCTAAATTTCACTAAGAAGCACCTCAGAAAGTCATTCCTGAAGCACATACTGATTCTCAAGACGGGAACCTGATGCATTTTCTACAAAGTATCATTCAGTTTTCCCTTTGGAAAAGGAACATCTTGGGTCACATGCTCTCAAGCGACCTGGGTGCAGGTAAACTCTGGTGTCTGGGCTCAGACATGCCTGGCTCCCACCAGGCCCAATAAAGGGAGGCCTGTCAGCACACAGTTTACCAGTCAGCCGTTCCTTTGTGAAAAACTGAGCGATTGCCTTATTTTTGCTGGAATTTTCCACACTGAGGCTCCAAATTCTTCAGGATTTCTCCATAGAGGTTACACAACACCGGAGTCTTTCCTCAGTTATGCTGCGGTAGGTGGCAGGGGTGAGTTTAGGTAACATGTAATATTCGAGGTGTGGTGTGAGATGAAGCAGGCAAAATCAAGCCGAGTGTGATCAGAATGGGAGGCCCCCGCCCGCATGCAGATGTGGGGCTGTGGCCCTGATCCCATCCTGGGGGGGCCCAACCAGGCATCACTCCACCCACCCAAGGGGCACTTACGCTCTCCCTCCTGTACACTGTGCGGATGCAGCTGAGGGTATTCCCGTAGCCGACGCCAGCCTGCAGGCGAGTCTGTGGAGAGAGGAAAGGGCATATGTCAGCTTGGAGGTCATTCATAGCCCCACTGCTCCAAAGATGCCCAGAGGGAAAGGCCCTGCTCATAGTGAAGCCTGCCAGCAAAGGGTCTGGGTTTCAGTTCTGGCCAGGCTGGTGCTCCATCCCTGGCTTGCACTGCCTCCCTCTAATGTCCCTTTCAGACTCGCTCAATGCAGAGAAGCCTGCTTTGCTGAGAGAATGGCAAAGGCCAGCTAGTTGTGCCGAATCATTGTACGATCCCCACCTCTTGAGTACACAAAGCTAAACTGGAACTCTATCTGCTGTCTGTCACTCCACCCTGCAAAATAGCTTTGGAGGAGAACTGCTCTTCTTGCCCCCAGAAATACCACCCCCTGGCCTGAAGCCCTCCCTGGCCTCCTGCTTCTCTGTCACTTCCTCCATTTCTCTCTATGCAACAGGCAGACTGATCTTTTTCAAGGTCAATGAAGACTCCAGTGGCCTCCCATCAAATGTAGGAGACATTCCCCACTCTCCCTGAGCCTGGGAGCCACCTGCCTCTCACCCCACATGCCATCTCCTCCCCCAGGTCCTGCATAAGCTGCATGTCCCCGGGCCCTGGAGCTGCAATTCTTTCCTGCCTCCAGCCCACTGCCACTTCTGGTCCCAACTTCTGGAAGCCTCTTCCTCCAGCTCCTGCTCGTCTTTCAAGACTGAGTGGATATGTCGCCGTGGTCCTATGTGTTTGATTATGTAGGGTTTATGTTGGACCACCCAGCTAGGGTCGGAATGCCTGTTTTACTTTCCTCTCATCTCCAGGGCGGGGCACAGCCCCAGCACAGTGGCCCCTTTGCAGTGACTGAACAAGGACTGCATGGCTAAACTGTGGTGGCCTCTGATGGAGGCTGGCTTTGGTGACCAGGGGCAGCAGCTGACAGGTGCAGAGGGTCTGAGTAAGCCCACCTAAGTGTCTAGAGTACCCCTGCCCTGGCCTCAGAGGATTCCACTTCTTTTAAGATGCACAGCCTATAATTTTCCATCAAAACACTTTGTCATCATGCACAGCATGCCATGCCTGTGTATGAAGGAGCTGTGAGATGACCAAGGAGGAGATACTGGCCCGTCCCCACAGACTCCAGTATGCAGTGAGGGACCCAGAAAGTCAGGCTAGCTCCTCACACAAACCGCCTGAGCTCAGCTCTGGAGACAAGTGGAAGAGGCCTGGGAAGAGTACGTAGAGTTAAAATGGTGATCTCAGAGGTGAGCACCACAGGTGATGTGGAGCTTTTCTGCATTTTCCAACTTTCCTGCAATAGTAGATGTTACTTTCATTATTTTTAGCTTACATAGTTTGAAAGTAATGTAAAGTACACAACTCATAGGGAAATACATTCTCTCAACGACATCAAAATTAGCATCACATGTAAGGCTGAAGCCCCATTGGACCCACCTTCGCTGTCACCCTGCTCCTCCCCTGAGTTCATGATCATGGCTAATAGCATGGCCAAGAGTTTCAGAAGCACCCATTTAAATAGTTTTATAAACATATGTAGCCAAAGGAAAAATATAGGAAATATTATCACCCTGCTCATAAGTTTTACTTTCATAACCAGAGAAGTGTTTATCGACTCGCTCAACCAGTATTTGTTCGGGGCCTATTTTATTGGAGGCACAATTCCAATCTCAGGGAATTTGGCAATAAAGAAACCAGAGTCTCTGCCCTCATGGAACTTACAACCTGGTGGAGTCAGAAAAGATGGTCAATAAAAAATAATTCCCAAGTAAATACGTATTTTAGATGAAGACAAGTGCTATGGAAGAAAACCAAGGATAAGAAGAGCTGGGTGATGAGAAGGAAAAGGTAGTTTTAAATTGAGTGGTGGAGACTCCCTGGAAGATGCAGTGAGATGAGAACCTGGCCTTCGATGTCTTCTTGTTAAGCAGAACCACAAAGGCCTACCTTGGAGTGGGATGTCCACAACTAGGACAATGACTTGTGCCAGGTGGTAACTTAGGAGGTGGTGAAGGGCTGCAGGTCTCTCTCTGTGCCCCAAGTAAGGCTGGCATGAGGTCCAACACTCTCCCAGGGCTCTCTCTGGAAAGTGAATCCACAGAATGGTTGACTCCCACCCCACCCCCTGCAACAAGTAGTCAAGTTGCCGCTAAGAAAATTGAGTGGTTGAGTCACTCAAGCCAATAATACATGAAGGAACTCAACCCAAGAGCCAAACCTGGATCACAGAATAATTTCAAAGCCATGGAGCCAAAGGTCTGTCAGGCATGCTGAGCACTCAGGGAAGCTGGCACTGAGGCCAGCAGCAAAGTCCAAGTCTCTAGGGACCCAGTGACAGCAGGAGATGACATTTAGTGTGCACCAACTGCATACTGATCATATAAAACTGATCCCACTAAATCGCACAGGTGCTCTAAGACATAAGAACTGGTCCCATCTTACAGATGAACACAGCTGACTCCTTGCTTTAGTTTCCTGTTGCTACTATAACAAATTACCACAAACTCCATGGTTTAAGCAGCATGAATGCATTTTCTCACAGTTCTAAGACCAGAAATCTGAAATGATCTCAGTGGGCTAAGACCAGGGTGCTGGCAGGGCAGCATTCTCTCGGGAGGCTCTCAGGGAAAATCTGTTTCCTTGTCTCCCCCAGCTTTTGGAGTTCACCCTCTTTCCTGGAGCCATGTCCCAGCATCACAGCTCCTCTTCTCTCCCGGCTTCTGTTGTCATCACATTGTTTTCTTCCTCTTTTATAGGAAGAAATCGAAATCTCCCTCCACCTCCCTGTCATAAGGACACTTGTAATTACATTTAAGAGCCTCCCTGATAATCCAGGATCATCCTCCCATCTCGAGATCCTTAACTTAAGCATACCTGCAAAGTTTTCTTTTGCCATATGAGATGACATTCACAGGTTCCAGAGATGAGGACATGGGCATGTCTAGGGACCATTATTCAATCAACCACACTGTCTCACACAGTTTCCCCAGGAACCTGGCTCCCTCCTTTGGCTCATCCCCAGGCCTTTCACTTTACAGGACCCCAGAGGCTGCTATTCCCACCAACCTCTAGCCTACTGAGACAAAAAGAAGTCCCGCCCAAGCTCTTGACTAGGTGTGACTTCCCTGAGAGTTGAGTTCTCTGACCTAAACGTAGGGTTAGGTATATAATAGGTGCTCAATGAATACCTATGAAAGGCAAGAGAGAAGAGAGCTTGGTTCCCTAGCCCAACTTCAGTGTTTTTAGTTATTAGGGAAAATATCTACATATTTGAGGTACCCAGAGGTCCTCATTTTGGACCTAGAGAATTGATGGGTTTGCCATTATCTTTCTTGCCTCTCCTGGTTATGTAGAATCAAGGCCATTTTAAGACTTGCTTAGATATTGGACTCTTTCACTTTTGTAAACCTGCTCATATTGTATCAAGCAAGATAAAATTAGTATAATTGTACATATTTAATGTACATTGCATATTAATATCATCCACATAGACCTCCATGAAAGTTGAGTTCCATTTGACTATTTAACATGTGGTTATATTTTGTAAACATTTAGTGCAGCATTAATTTTGATTCTATACTTTTCTTCTTACATAGTATTTTCTCAGTTCTCTGGCACTTTCTTTGGTCCTTATAGAGAATGGGAGCCCTGGGTTCTGTGCATGAAGTGGCTACAGCTTGAAGATCATGGCACTGCAGGCAATATTTAGCCCAAAACTATGAGCTTCATGTCAGGGGTGCTATGAGCTCATATTCCTCCAGTTCATGGTTTCCCTCCCATTGGAAGCTCTCAGGACCCCAGAGGTGAAAACCCAAGGAGAAGAGGATGAGTGTTCAGTGCCAGGAGGTGAGGTAGCTGGAGCCTCAGTGCTTGGAGCTGAGCCACTGCCCCGCTGGCCCTGACCTGGCAGAGCAGGCCATGCCCTAGCTGTCCTGGGCCAACATGCATGCCCCAAACTGGAGTGGGCAGTGAGGGGGCAGCCTGGAGTGGTGGGGAGCATGATGGAGCAATACGAGAAGCCTTAATGGGATGTTCATGAGAAGGAGGCAGACATCCCCCCACACAAAGCCTGTCCATTGCAGTCCAGATCCCATGGTCTGTAAGAGTGGTCCCCAACCTTTTTGGTACCAGGGACCAGTTTTGTGGAAGACAATTTTTCCATGGTCCAGGGTGGGGTGATGGTTTCAAGATGAAACTGTTCCACCTCAGATCATCAGGCATTAGATTCTCATCAAGAGCAGGCAACCTAGATCCCTAGCATGCACAGTTCATAATAGGGTTTGTGCTCCTACGAGAATCGAATGCTGCCACTGATGTGACAGGAGGCAGAGCTCAGGCAGGAATGCTCGCTTGCTCACTGCTTACCTCCTGCTGCATGGCCTAGTTCCTAACAGGCCATGGACTGGTCCATGGTACAGGGGCTGGGGACCCCTGGTTTACAGGCAGCCAAGCCCTGACTAGAAAACTTAGCCATGCTGCATCAGACATATGCAGCAGACCTGCCTCCTCAACCTAAGACCAGGCAGCCAAGGCACAGGAAGAAGCCTTTCACCTGAGTCAGTAGCCGGGTTCTTCGACAGGGGAGTCCTGGGACTCCAGGCAAGTCACCGTCTGCCTCCCGCAGCCCAGCTTGTCTATTCATGATAGCAGCAGCATCTCGCTCATTGCTATATCCTCAATGCAATGGCTCTATGAACGATCTTCACGGCAGCCCCACCAGGGAGGTGCTACTTGCCCACTTTACAGACAAGGAAACTAAGGCTCAGGAAGGTTAAGCCCTCTGCCCCAGTCACAGGAGAGTAGGTGATAAGGCCAGGACTGGATTTCCAGTTATTCAGACTTGCCTGGCCCTTTCTTGGTGGACAGGGTCCATAGAGAAAACATCAGCCAGAAGGAAGGAAGAGGGTGTTCTGGAGTCAACAGGGGCACTCAGGCCAAACGAAGACTGGAATCCATGTCTCAGGAGGGCTTCCCTCCTGAGCTTCAGGGCAGAGTGTGGAGAAGGGAAAGAGCCCAGACTTTTCAGGTGACTGTGGCCAGGGAGCTCCACTCCCATAAACTGCCCTAAACCCAATGACTAGTGTCCTTAGGAAGGACCGGGAGATTTAACACACAGAGACTCAGAGGGGAGGCCTTGTGAAGAGAGGCAGGGCCTGGAGTTAAGGAGCCACTGTCCAAGGAATGCCAAGCACTGCAGCAGGCACTGGAAGCTGGCACAGGACCATGTGGCAGGTCCTCCCTCAGAGCCTCCAGAAGGCACCAACCCCTCAGTTTTGGACTTCCTGCTCTCTGACCTGTGAGGAAATACATTTCTATTGTTTTCAGCCACCCAGTTTGTGGATATTTGTTAAATCAGCCCAAGGAAACTAATCCATACTCTCAATTTTTTACTGTTAAATCTCTCACTCCTCACAGTGATTTGTTACCAACTCACTGATATGAAGTCAGCCTGGGTTCTAGAGAAACAACAGCCCTTTTCCTTGCCAAGATGCTAGGCCTCTGGCCGACAGTTCCAAGATCAGTGACTGAGCACGCCACTCGGAGAACGCTTGCCCATCTTTGAGGTATTCCATTGACCCCCAAAGAGAAACGTATAAATATCATTTAAATCAGATAATTGGAAACACATTCTCCAATTTTGGTTAAAATCTTGCTAGACATTGTCTCATGATGTGGTAACTGAGCAAAACTTAATATATATAGAATAATGTTAATTAAAATAGCAGCTACCGGCTGGGAGCGGTGGCTCATGCCTGTAATCCCAGCACTTTGGGTGGCCAAGGCGGGCAGATCATGAGGTCAGATCGAGACCATCCTGGCCAACATGGTGCAACCTCATCTCTATTAAAAATACAAAAAAATTAGCTGGACATGGTGGTGCATACCTGTAGCCCCAGCTACTAGGGAGGCTGAGGCAGGAGAATTGCTTGAACCCAGGTGGCAGAGATTGCAGTGAGCTGAGATCACGCCACTATACTACAGTCTGGGGGACAGTGTGAGACTCTGTCTCAAAAAAAAAAAAAATAGCAGCTACCAATTTTGAATGCCAATTGGGTACCAAAAACAATGCTTATCATCTTATACTGACCCTGTAAGGCAAGGATTCATATCTTGTTTAACAGAAGGCTATGCAAGCAGGAAATGGCAAAAACAGGATTCATGCCTAGAGCCTGTGTGGTTCCAAGGCCTATGCTTTCTGGCTCAGCCATGCTGCCTCCCCACTGATCCATTGTTGTGGATTAGTTTGTTGAATGAGCCCTGGGAAAGACAGTCTGGGAATGAGAGGTCAGTTTGGGAGGTGAGAAATGCCAGAAACAATCAGCACTCTTGTGGAGACATTAGGGAGTACATCTGAGTTTTCCAAGTCTCCCCAAGGCCCAGTCCTGAAGATGAATGCAGCAGGCACCTTGAACTTGGCTGAGGTCTGGGATGGCAACTCATTCAGCAGGTGCTCACCCAGGGGGGCTGTGCCCAGCTCTGTACTGAACTGCACTCTGAACAGGGGAGAGTCAGAGGCTACAGGCTAGGGAAGCCAGGCCTGGGCAAGGTAATCAGCCAGCTCTCATGGAGGGTAAAGAGGGCTCAGTGAGCAGCTACCTCAGGGGTGGGAAGGTTTCTGAGGGCCTGGCTTGGTTCTGGACAGCCCTGGGGAGTGGTAGACATGGGCCCTACCCCTGGGCAGCAATGGCTCAGCCTTGAGATGCTGGTAAGTCCACTTCTGACATGAACTTGCTGCACAGCCCTCCTTGGTGGGCTGTAAGACCAAGGGCCTGGGTATGCAGGGCTGGCAGGAAGCAGGCAGCAAGGTCCCCAGCCCACTCTGAAATCCCATTCTCCCTGGGCTTCTCCCAGCACCTGCACCACCCCGCTTGCTCAGCTCACTATGTGCACCACACACACACTGGATGCCTTTGTTTTCCTGGAGAATGTATATTGCAGCCTGTTCCTACCCTTGGGCCCTGGCACTGGCTCGTTCCTCTGTGAGCAGCACTCTGACCCCAGTTCTGCGTGTCTGACTCTTTGTGTCATTTGAGTCTCAACATAGCTGCCTTCCTGGCAGAGAGGCCATCCATGATTTCAAAACAGAGAAGCTCCTCATCACTGTTTCTGCCATCACCTTGTGTTATCGTCCCCCTAACACCCACCACTGTCCATAAATGCTTCTTGTATCTGTTGTGTTCTCTAATTATTGTCTATCACTGGCCCTAAAAGTATCTGTCTCCTTGTCTGCCTCCCTCACTTCTGAGTCCTCAAAGCCTAGGTAAGCCTGCAAGTAAAGTTCACTTTGGAGCTTTGAATGCAGCACCACAATGCCCAGCTCTAAGGTCTGGGGCAGGTTTCTGAACTCTGCACCTTACTCTCTCCTGTATAAAATGGGAAGATTATACCATTGCAGGAAGGTAGACTAAGTCTGCTTCACTCACTACTTTGTGGGCCCATCTCCCAGCACTGGGTCCTGCCTGCCATCCCCCTGCGTTGGGACATCCCCTGGGGACCCTAAACACCCGCCTTTACTACTTAAAGGGTTTCTTCAAATATTTAAAACAGGTAGACTGATCTTCCCATCAAGAAGAGAGTGAGCATGAGCCCTGACCTAGGAGAGGGTCCATTTTCATACAGGGAGCAAGATGGGGAGAACAGACATTGCAGCAGCCATTTGAAAGGGCCTGTGAGGCTCCTGTCTGTGCACAATCCAGGCAGAGCTTTAGAAAGATCTGGAAGCCAGTCAGCAGTGAGGAGGCACAATGTATGGCTCTGTTCCCAGAGCATAGCTCTAAGTCCCACTCACCACAGGGAACAGGTGCAGGAGTGGGGATGGGGTGAAAAATTGCTCCTTTGCAGCATCTCACATCTCAGTTTTTAACTTGTTGTATGATCTGAGACCAGCCCCATCCCCTTCTAGGGAACATCCCAGAACAAGGGTGTTGAATAATCCCAATGCCAGGAAGGCCCCACCAGCTCCACAGTCCTGACACCCATGTGTTTCATCAGGTAATGATGGGTTCCCATCTCCAATCTAGTTTAAAGTCCCACCTGGACCACTGAGTCTTCTGAGTCCAACCCAGGCCTCCTGGCACTCCAGCCCCCTGGGCTGGCAACAGAGAGCCTGCCCTGAGCAGAAGACTCTAAGGGAGATCAGAAACTCTAAGGGTCCCAGAGGCAGATCAGCTCCTTGCCTCTTTTTAAGAGGTAATGAGAGACATGGCTACTGTACCTTGACTGTGTCCAGAGGGTGGCCGACGATGACGCTGGCTGCACCTGTGGATTACAAAAGAACGTCTGATAACTCAGCCCTTGAACTCCCAGCTTGCACCAGCCAGCTCTTGGGACAAAACAGGCACATATTTAGTCGATGGCCAGTTGCTGGAGTTGCAGTGGGCAGGGGTGCGGGGCCTCCAGTGTGCTAGGCACTGGCCCATGCAGGAAGGAAGTTAGAGAAAATAGAGTAAAACAACTAATCACTCCAAAACAGGTGTCTATCACTGGCCTAAAAATATCTGTCTCCTTGCCTGCCTCCCTCACTCCCGAGCCTTCAAAGTCTACGTCAGCCTGCAAGTAAAGTTCACCTTGGAGCTGATGGAAGGGACTAGGACAAGTGGATATTCACAGGCAAAAGAGTGGAAGAGTGGAGACAGACCCCACCCTCCACCTCACACCATATACAAAATTAACTCAAAATAGATCAAAGACCTAAATGGGAGAGCAAAACTATAAAACTCTTAGACTAAAATGTAGAAAACAATCTTGACCTGTGATTTGCAATGGACTCTTGGATATAAGAGCAAAAGTACAACAAAGCAATAGAGGGAAGTACATGTCATATCAAAATACAGCGGATGGGTGCATGGATTATTTCAAGTTGAAAACATTGAGAAATTGTAATTTCTGAAAGACTGAGCTGACCTGTCTCTTCCTGCATGCAGCAAGTAATTAAGATTCCTCTGGGAGCAGTACTCTCTCCATACCAGGGTAGCAAAATAGCCTTTATTACCAGGAACTTGGAATTGAAGGCTGCAGTGGACCTGAATTTATACATAATGAAGTAATCCTTATCCTCCATCTGCTTTATAGCACCCCCCACATACATCTCCTAGTGACTCCTCCAGCAAAATTCTACCACCCTAGCCAGATTTTCTTTGTCCTGTCATTTCTTCTTAAATTGATTATTCTTTGTCTAAAAAGTATGAAAAGATCTTGCTTTGGACACTTCTCCCAACTTCACTCCTTGTGAAGATCACTATGTCATGAAAAACTAATACAATCTGTATTCTTTTTCTCTTGTTAATCAGCCTGGTGTCAATTTGGTTTCTACATTCAGTTGAAGAGCCTAATAAGAGCTAAACAGGGGGTTGGAGGTTATCTCTAACTCCCCTACACAATGCAAGAATAACACTGAACTTCATAAAAATTGAAAACTTATGTGTGCAAAAGTGAAGGCATCCTACAGAATGGGAGAAAATGAGAAAGTGTGTGGAAATCATATATTTGATAAGGATTTAGTGTCCATATGTATAAAGTATTCTTACAACTGAATAAAAGAATTTTAATGGACAAAGGACTTGCACACACATTTCTCCAATGATGATATAAAGATGATCCACAGATACATGAATAGATGCTCAACATCTGCATTCATTTGGGAAATGCAAATTAAAAACACAATGAGAGTCCTCTTCACACGCACTAGGATAGCTATAATTGAAAAAAAATGGAAAGGAACTGTTGGCAAGGATGTAGAGAAATTGGAACACTTGTACATTGCTGGTAGAAATGTAAAATGCTGCAGCCATGGTGGAAACAGTTTGGCAATTCCTCAAAAAAGTTAAACATAGAGTTAACAGTTCCATTCCTACATATATATCCAACAATAGAAAACAGATACTCAAACAAGTACATTACACACACATCATGGCAACATTGTTCACAATTGCCAAAAGGTGGAAATAAACCAAATGACCATCAACTGATGTATGGATAAACAAAATGTGGGATATTTATACAGAGAATACTGCTTGGCAATACAAAGAAACAAACTCTTGGTACATGCTGCAGCATGAATGCACCTCCAAAGCATTATGCTAAATTAGAAAGGCCAGATGTAAAAGGCAAGCTATTGTATGACTCTACTCATACGAGTTACCCAGGATAGGTAAATCCATAAAGACAGAAAGTAAATTAATGTTTGTCAGGACTGGGAGAAGGTGGAAATGGGGGTTGCTCTTTAATGGGTACAGCATCTTCTTTGGTCATGAGAAAAATGTTTCAGAACTAGATAGAAGTGATGGTTGCACAGTGCTGTGAATGTACTCAATGCCACTGAATTATACACTTTCAAATGGTTAATGTTTTATTATGTGAATTTCAGCTCAAAAATGGGGGTAGTATGTGTGTAAAGAAAAAAACTTAAAAATTTTCCGTTACCTGCAGGTTACTTAACTTCTCTACCTCTCATTTTTAGCATGTGTAGAGTCAGAATAATAACAGCACCTAACTCCTGCTTCCATTGTAAGAATGAAATGCAGTGATGCATAAAAAGTACCTAGCAGAGAGCCTGACACCTATAGGATGCTGAAATATGAGTGATGTCACCATAGAATTTTTTTTAAAGAAGATCCCTTTGGAAAAGTGATGAACATACACTGTATCTTTTCACAGAAAAAATACCTACACACACACACACACACGACCTATACAATTTGAAGAGAACCACTGCTGCCCCAAGGCCACTTAGATTAAGAAGCCCTTTGTAAGGATTACAAATCATTCTACTATAAGGACACGTGCACACGAATGTTCATTGCAGCACTGTTTACAATAGCAAAGACCTGGAACCAACCCAAATGCCCATCGACGATAGACTGGATAGGGAAAATGTGGCACATATACACCATGGAATATTATGCAGCCATCAAAAACGATGAGTTTGGGTCCTTTGTAGGGACATGGATGAACCTGGAAATCATCATTCTCAGCAGACTGACGGAAGAGCAGAAGATCAAACACCGCATGTTCTCACTCATAGGCGGGTGTTGAACAATGAGAACACATGGACACAGGGAGGGGAGCACTACACACTGGGGTCAGTTGGGGGGAAATAGGGGAGGGACGGTGGGGGGTGGGAAGCTGGGGAGAGATAGCAAGGGGAGAAATGCCAGATGTAGGTGATGGGGAGGAAGGCAGCAAATCACACTGCCACGTGTGTTCCTATGCAACAATTTTGCATGTTCTTCACATGTACCCCAAAACCTAAAATGCAATAAAATAAATAAATGGGGAAAAAAAAGAAGCCCTTTGTATTAGTTTGTTCTCACACTGCTATCAAAGACATACCTGAGACTGGGTAACTTATAAAGGAAAGAGGTTTAATTGACTCACAGTTCCACATGGCTGGGAAGGCCATACAATCATGGAAGGTGATGGAGGAGCAAGTCATGTCTTACATGGCAACAGGCAAAAAGAGAGCTTGGGGAACACCCCTTTATAAAGCCATCAGGTCTCATGAGGCTCATTCACTACCACAAGAACAGCATAGGAAAACCCGTCCCCATGAGACCCTCCCACTGGGTCTCACCCATGACACATGGAAATTATGGGAGCTACAGTTCCAGATGAGATTTGGGTGAGGACACAGCCAAATTACATCATTCCACTCCTGGCTCCTCCAAAATATCATGTCCTCACATTTCAAAACCAATTGTGCCTTCCCAATGGCCCCCCCCAAAGTTTTAACTCATTTCAGCATGAACTCTAAATCCACACACAGTCCAAAGTCTCATCTGAGACAAGGCAAGTCTCTTCTACTTATAAGCCTGTGAGATCAAAAGCAAGTTAGTTACTTCCTAGAAACAGTGAGGGTATAGGCATTGGGTAAATACATCTGTTCCAAACGGGAAAAAATGGCCAAAACAGAGGGGCTACAGCCTCCATGCAAGTCCGAAATCCAGCAGGGCAATCAAATCTTAAAGTTCTGAAACAACCTCCTTGACTCCATATTTCACATGCAGGGCACACTAATGCAAGAGGTGGTTCCCATGGTCTTGGGCAGCTCCATCCCTGTGGCTTTGCAGGGTTCAGCCTTCCTACTAGCTTCTGGCATGAGTTAGCAAATGCCATCAGCATAGCCCATCTGCATGACCCATTGCAGAGGAAAGTGCTCTGACAGATCACCATCAGGGAAGGAACTGAGGGAGAAAAGGAAAGGAAAGGAAACTGGAGAAAGGAAACTGGGTTTTTTGTATTTTAATAAAAAATTATCACTCCCATGAGGCCTGCAATGAGTGTCAGTGGCTTTCCCAGGTGCATGGTGCAAGTGTTAGTGGGGCTGCCATTTTGAGGTCTGGAGGATGGTGGCTGTCTTCTCACAGCTCTACTAGGCATTGTCCCAGTGGGGACTCTGTGTGGGGCTCCCACCTCTGCAGCAAACTTCTGCTTGGACATCCAGGCATTCTCATACATTCTTTGAAATCTAGATTAAGGTTCCCAAACCTCAGTTCTTGACTTCTGTGTATGGACAGGCTCAACACGACGTGGAAGCAAAGCTTAGGGCTTGCACCCTCTGAAGCCATAGCATGAGCTGTACCTTGATCCCTTGAGCCATGGTTGGAGTGTCTAGGACACAGAGCACCAAGTCCCTAGGCTGTAGAGAGCAAGGGGGCCCTGGACCCAGCCCAGGAAACCATTTCTTTCCTCCCAGGCCTCTGAGTCTGTGATGGGAGGGGCTGTCACCAAGGTCTCTGACATGCCCTAGAGATATTTCCCCACTGTCTTGGTGATTAACATTTGGCTCCTTATTACTTATGCAAATTTTTACAACAGCCTTGAATTTCTTCCCAGAAAATGGGTTTTCTTTTCTATTGCACCACTAGGCTGCACGTTTTCCAAACTTTTATGCCTTGCTTCCATTTTAAACATAAGTTACAATTCCAAACCATATCTTTGTGAATACATAAAACTGAATGCTTTTAACAGCACCCAAATCACCACTTGAATGCTTTGCTGCTTAGTAATTTCTTCAGCCTGATACCCTAAATCATCTTTCTCAAGTTTAAAGTTCCACAGATCTCTAGGGCAGGGGCAAAATGCCACCAGTCTCTTTGCTAAAACATAACAAGAGTCACTTTTATTCCAGTTTCCAACAAGTTCCTCATCTCCATCTAAGACCACCTCAACTGGGACTTCATTGTCCGTATCAGCATTTTGGTCAAAACCATTCCACAAGTCTTTAGAAAGTTCCAAACTTTCCCACATTTTTCTGTCTTCTTCTGAGCCCTCCAAAATGTTCTAACCTCTGTCTGTTACCCAGTTCCAAAGTTGCTTCCACATTTTCAGCTATCTTTACAGCAACACCCCACTCTACTGGTATCAATTGCCTGTATTAGTCCATACTCATGCTGCTAATAAAGACATTATTGAGACTGGGTAATTTATAAAGGAAAGAGATTTAATAGACTCACAGTTCTACATCTCTGGGGAGGCCACACAATAATGGTAGAAGGCAAAAGAGGAGCAAAGTCACATCTTACCTGGTGGCAAGCAAAAAGAGAGCTTGTGCAGGGAACTTTTCTTTGTAAAGTCATCAGATCTCATGAGACATATTCATTACCAGAAGAACGGCATGGGAAAGTCTGCCCCTATGATTTAATTACCTCCTATGAGGGGTCCTTCCCATGTCACATGGGAATTATGGGAGCTACAATTCAAGATGGAATTTGGGTGGGGAAACAGCCAAACTATATCACCCTTGTAGCAGCTGGTGACTGAAATTGAAACAGAAACTGTTCTTCAAAGACAAATTCCCCAGCACACTGATAAAAAAAGGAAATATCTCTGTTAGTAGAGGTGATTTAGCCAGATAAGGTAGCTAAGAGCTCCTGGAATATTAGATATTTATAGGGACAAAGAAACCAGCTAATCCCAGAACAATGATTCACCTTTCCCCTCTCATCCCCTCATACCTACTAAACTGGGCAGGGGCAGAGAGGTGATGGCAGTAATTAACCCTTCCCAGTAGAGTAGTGGGAGGGGGAGTGCTGGTTCTCAAGCTCCAGGGCTTCCCCCATAGTGAGTTCACACATCTCTCAGCTCAGGGCAGTCTTAGATCCAGCCTTTGGCCAAAAACTCCCTGCCACTTATTAGCCCACCCATCTGAAAGCAGGGGATTTGAGATTTTTAAAATGGGATTATCAGGTCAGTGGTTTCCAGATCTTGGCACTTCACAAACCAGTAAAATCTCAAACAAAGATTGGTGTGTGTATGGTGGGGCGGGAGGGGGGAGGAGTATAAAAAAGGGGCAAAATTTTGTCATGTAAGGTTGTTTGGAGAGTTAAGATAAAATTAAGATCGCAGATTCTGGTGCCAGACAGCCTGGGCTGGAATCCCAGTGCCAATGCTAGATGCATGATCTTAGGCAAGTCAGTGAATTTCTCTGTATCTCAATTTCGTCATCTGTAAAATAAGGATACAACAGAACCTACCTCATTGGGGTTGTTATAATAATTAAAGAAATAGACATAAACTGACATAAGATACTACATGTTGCAAGATTCAGTTGACATATCCAGGAAAGGCAGATTTACAGGAAGTAGATTAAGGAGAGGAAACGGCATTTCAACTTCAAATGAGGAATCTTACTGGGGCATGAAAACGTTCTAAAACAAATTCATGGTGATGATTGTACCACTCTGTAAAATTACTAAAAGACACTGAATTGTTGAAATGGGTGAATTTTATAATATGTAAAATAAACCTCAATAAAATTGTTTTAAAAGAATACATTTAGCACTTAAACAATACCTGGCACCTAGCAACTATTAAAGTGTAGTAAACATTTATCATCATTTAATATTATTAGGTTGGTGAAAAAGTAATTGCGGTTTTTGCAATTACTTCCAATAACATCACCAAAGTAAGAACAATCACAGAACAAAGCACAAAAATCTCCTACTTGCTGTGAGCTGGGAAAGGTTCATGCTTTTTCACGTTTGGGGGTGGGGAGGGGTATCAGAGTCTTGGAACTACTCTGACTCAGCCCTACTTTCCAGGGCACTTCTCAAACCAAGCCACTTGCATTCCTACTGAAGGTGGTCTGGTTATTTAAGGGGCAGCCCACAGAAGCGTCTCCTCTCTCTGCCTGCCCCTCTGAATGATGGAATAATTGTCCAGTCAAAAAGGGCCTGGATATGCCTAGTGGGCCTCAGGCGGGAACCCCCTGACTGGGAAAGTTGGGAGAGATGAGCCTCAGCCTCACCCAAGGGAGTCTGTGCCAACAGACTTACTCAAGGTGAAAGGAGGCACCTCTGCTCAGGAAGTTGTGAAGCAGGTGCCCTGCAGCCACCTGTGAGGGAGAGAAGAGGCTTCCGGCTAGGTTGGAGGGGAGAAGCTGGGATCCAGTCAGGTTTGTTGCTCTTTTCATCTTTTTTTTTTTTTCTTTTGGTGAGGAGCTGCATTTGCCAACATCCCTTTTAGGATAATCCTCTTAGATGGGTTCAAATACATACACACACACACACACACACACACACACACACACACACACACACGTATATATTTTACAATTAGCAAAGTCCCTGAAACTTCCCCCTTCCCCAGTAGCTGATCAAAGAGGGATAGACCTATTGGAAAGAAAAATGGAGAAGTAAGGAAATGAATGCAACTCTCGCCCAGGCAACCCATCCCGGGCCCAGTAAAAAAGTAACACCGGGAGCTGTGGTGAAGGGACCAGCAGACCCGACCGCGGCGGGAGGAGGGGCCTTGGAGGTAGGCGATGGCTGACGGCTGGCAGCGGCTGAAGGCAGTGTTTCTCGAAGCCTGGCAACAGGCACCTGCAGCAGGCGCTCCGCTCCCTGCTGTGAGCGCTCTGCTCCCTCCAGTCGGGACGCCCCCTAGGGTCGGCCGGATCTCGAAGCCCCGCTCCCCACCACCCTTCGCCCCGGGGTCAGCAGCCAAGCGCCACCTTCATACATAAGTTCCCGCCAGCCACGTCCGCAATTCAGGTGTGCACCGGGTCACTGAAGGGTGTGTGCGCCGCTAGGAGCCTCCATTGGCTGCCGGCTTTGACTGGCTGTTTAATCATTACCGCATCAGGTCCCGCGGATCCTAACGAAATGAGCAAATCAGAAGCTGAGCTTGAATCGCTGTGAAGCTCTCCGAGTTTAGCTCTGGCAATTACCATCCGGGAGAGCGCCCCGAAGCAGGCTGCGCGCGCACCGGGAAGCGGGATGAGAGCGCACAGAGGCACAAAGTTTCCTCAGAGCACGGAGGCAAACTCCTCCAGGCTCGCTCTCGCTGTCCGGGGTCCCCGGCAAGCACACTCACCACCGATCCAGCCCGCCGCAAAGTCTTCCAGCTGGAAGCTGCCCATGGCCGGTGGCGCGCGGCGTCTCGCTCTCCCGGAGCCGGGACAGTGCCCACTTAGCGTCAGTGAGGCATGGCCCGTGGGCGCGAGCGCGCCTCAAAACGAAAGTCGGAGTCTCGGAGCGCACCGCAGGTCCTACTCCAAACCCAGTCCCTGAGACACCGGCTGAGCCCGCTGCCGCGCTCACCTCTCCAAGTGCCGGAGGGCGGCTGACATCACGCCCCCAGTGGACCTTAAAGGCACAGCACTCCGCGCGGATAAGGGTGCGCTCCGCGAGGCTCATCCCAGAAGCAAGGGTCATTGAGTGGAATTCTCTCAGTCCTCCCTTCTCCGGGTTATCCTCCTTGCCAACTTCAGAGCCTCAGCGCTTTTGAAGTGAAAGTGCCAGCCGCCCATCCAGAGATGGCATTTGGTGGCTGTGCTCATATTGCCCTGTGCTGTGCTGACAATGCTGATTCCAATCAGCGGTGGACTCTCTCCCATGCCAACTCTGGGCAGTGATGCCTTTTTGTTCATCCCAGCCATTTCCCACTCAGTGCCCCGTGCCTAGAGCAAGCACCTGGTGGTCCAGGGTCATGTCTAACTTTCAGCTACAGCTCTCTAGGGGCCCAGCTCCCTGCCTGGCCCTGGCTCAGCCTACACTGTCTACCCTGGGCCAGCAGGAGGCAGAGGGGTGGTCCTCTCTACCTCAAACTCCCTCTCTGTAGGGAGACCCTACATTCCACCCAGGCCCCTGGCCAGAGGTCCATGCCCACTGGAGAAGTGGCCTGCTGTGTGGAGAGGTTTTTGTTTCCATGAGAGTTTCCTTCCTCCCTTCCCAAGAAGAAGACTCGAAGTCCCCCAGCATTCTGCTAGTTTCCAGCAGGTACTCAGCTGTGGGTCTCAGCCAAGACACCCCAAGGTTGTCAAGAATGATGAGGAGTATGGTCAGGAGGAAGGGGCCTCTGCTGGGCCTGTTGTTGTCCCACTGGGCATATCCATGTCATGTCATCCAGGTTAACATGCAACAACAGCCCGCCAGACCTCCTTCTTCCAAAGCAACAAAGAGCCTGACCACTGAAGCTTGATCCTACAAAGGGCTGTCCACTGAGGAGTGGGGACTTGGAGGTGGAAGGGACCTTCCTGTAGCATCCAGGCCTCCCCTGCCCTGGCACACCAAGAGTGGACCTGTGTCTGGACAGGACAGCCCGGGATCGAGTCACCGGCCTGGCTGGGGAAATCTTACAAAGTTCCAGGGAGGAGTGGAACTGTCACACCCCATCCTCATGCCTCAGCCTCCTCCTGCACATGGTGACCCACTCAGTCTTGAGGCTTCAGAGTTACCATCAGCATCAACCCCAAGCTGTGCCCTGCCATGTCCGGGATATATGCCTAGGGCCACTATGAGAAATGCAGGTCTCTGAAAACTGGCCTTTAGTGAGTTCACCACTGGAACGAATCCACAAGTGGAGAGCCTGCCAATTCCCAAGGCCCACTCCTTTGGAAGACCACCTAAGGAGTGCCAGGCAGATTGTCATCCCCTCAGTCCTGTGTCAGCACCAATTAGGGAGGTCTTAAGTTGGCAGGCAGTGTCCCTGGCAGCCCCAGGATGGCCTCCCAAGCCCAGAAAGCTGCTGCTTGAACTGCTAATGAGCTGGAGCAGAGCAGAGGGAGTGGGTCGCTTTCCAAATTGAACTACTGCGCTCTATTCCCAAATGCGTGCCACAAACCTGCCCATGAGGTGCATCACCCAGGGAAGTGGGGGGAGGACCCTAGGTTTACCAGCAACCCTGGCCAGGCCTGGAGAATCCCAGACCACAGGGCTGTGAGCCCAAGCCAAATGCTGGCTCTGTGGCGGGGATCTAGGCCCTCCCTTCTTCCTGGCCTTTGCACTTTGGAGCAGCATTTGCAGTGTGCTGCCATTCCATTCACATTTGCATTCTACGCGCGGGAGAGGGCAGGGCAGCTACTGGCCATTACACGGGGAAAGAAACTTCACAGAGAGATCCACTCCCTGCATGACTAGGGCCAGAAGGCAACCCATTTCCTTTCTCCCTCATTTCCTCCCCCGATAATGACCTCTCAGCACTTTCCTCTGCAGCGGGGCATGCAGATGGGCTATGCTGATAGCATTTACTAACTAGTGGTCCACACCCCATTTTTTATTTGCCCTCTCAGGCCACAGACATTTCCTGAGCACCCAGTCTGTGCTAGTGCCTTGCTTTTGGGTAAGTCTCTGTTTGAGAGGAGACAGTCTGTCTGAGAAGCTACACAGAGAATGCTGTAAGAGCAGTGGAGGAGTACACTGTTCTCCAGGAAGCAATCAGGGAAGCTTCTCCAAACCTGGAGTCTCCTGATTGCACATTTAGTCTCCACAGCCCCACAGCTCCCATCTCCCCAACCACTCTCTCAAGCAAGCCGAGAGTCCCCTCCCTGTGCCCACCTGCCACACTTGGGCAGCAAAGGCCTGCACCAGCTGTGCATTCCTGACCTGCTGCAGTGAAGGCCCTGCCCATGCACCTGCTCCTGTCTGCTTCCAGATTCCTGCCCTCACCCAGCTTTCCTCCCACTTCCCCAGCTGTTCTCATCTTCTTCCCTGGTGCCTTGTCCCCTTCTTGTGCTTAGGTGAGGATTCCTCAGGGCCCCATCTGGACCCTCACCCACCTGTACCTCCCATTTCTTAGCATATAACCCCCACACCTCGCTTCTGAGTCCAGACATCCCTCCACTCAACACCTCCACCTGGGTGGCTCAGGTCGTCTTAGCTCAGCACATCCCTTGATGAACTCTCTCTTCCTCCTCCAGCACCTCTTCAACTTAGAGAGAGAAATACAACTCCACCCAGCGGCCACCCAAACCAGCACCTTGGATACCATCCTCCGTTTCTCTCTCCCAAGGTCTTATCCCATCAGCCACAAAGTCCTGAGTGTCCATCCCCTCAATGACACCCATCCCTCATTGGCACCTCCTGATGTGGCTCAGCCCAGGCCTGTGCCACTGCCTTGCCTGGATCACAGTGGACACGGGCTCCTGGGTCCCTCTGCCCAGTCCTGCATCCACCCTCCAGCTGCTGCCCCCGTGAGCTTCTGAAACCTTAAATCTGCTCAGTTTAGTGACCTCCGATGACTTTCTGTGATCTTGAGCATAAATTTCAATTCCCCAGTGTGGTGTGTGTACCTCTGTGGGACCGGGTCTGGCTGCCCTTCCACTTCTCAGCCCAGCATCCCACAGTCTGTGCACGTGTGTGACTGCACATGCGCTATTCCCTTGCGGGAAACACCCTCTCCCTCCTTCTCCCTTGACTCACCCCTGCCCCCTTCTTCTTTGAGACTCAGCTCAGCTGTCACCTTCTCCTGACAGGCCTTCCTCAAAGCCCTTATCACCCTGTGCCACATGGGATCTGCTAGCTCTCAGTTGTGTTTCCTGAATATTCTGAGCATATCTGTATCACTGCTGTCACACTCAATGGTTGATAGTCTGTCTTCCCGTCCAGATTGTGAGCCCACTGGGAACAGGATACTGCCTCATTCTGCACTGGACATGCGGAACCTGGCACAGGCCTGGTGGGCAGTCACTACTCAGTCAGCTGGGTCTTAAATGGGGAGGCATGTGGCAAAGTCTGAAGGGCCTGCCAGTGGCTGGCAGACAAGGAGGGTGTCCAGGTACAAGGCAGAGTGGAAGAAGTGGCCATATCGCTCCTGGGTATGAGGCCTCCCCCTGGCCTTTTCTGCAGCATCACAGAAACCTTGCTTCTTCCAGACCCTCAAAGGTATAAGCCAAATTTCCCCGTAGGGTTTTTCACTGGTCACTCCCTCTGCCTGCAGCTCCCTCTCCCTGCCCTTCTCATGGCCAACTCCTACCACATTCATATCTATGCCAAAGCATCTTCTGCATGAGGAGGTCTCCCTAGGCCCCTCACAGGAGGGCAAGCCTTTTTTGCCCTCTCTCAAGGCACCCCTGCTTCTTTTTCCAACTCTCACGGTGGCGCTCAGCCCTTGTGCAATGTTTGGTTGCTCCAGGAAGATAGATAGGACCCGTCTGACCTGTCTGCCACCACGTCATTCTCGGGCTCTGCCACAGAGCAGGCAGACAGCAATTAGGACTGGGTGCAAAGGACTGATGAAACAGGACCGCAGGCTTGTGCTGTCTTTCTTCGTTGAGCGTTTGCCCCTGTTGCATCATTCCTGCACTGGCCTCGGACAACAGGAGCTCTGAGCTCCTTCCCCGACTCTGATGGGAAGGAAAAGGAGCACACGTGATTTTCGAGCTTCTCACTGGAAGCAAGGTTTCTTCCTCTGTTGGCGGCACTTTGAGAAGGTATGTGCAGAGCATGCGCAGACTGAGTCTGGCCCATCACCTGTTCAGTTTGAGGCTGGCAGTCAAGAAACAGAGGCAAGTGGCTGCGAAGTGAGGGGTGAAGCAGCCGGCGGGAAGGCTGGGCTGCCTGGGCTCTGGTCCCAGTGCTGCTGCTGCCTCAGTGGGCGTCTTGGGAAAGTCCAGACCTCAATTCTTCCCCTATCTTTTGGAAGGTATGGACGTTCCCCTCTGAGGTGGTGTCCTGGGAAGTCTGCAATTCTGGGCCACGGAGATATCAGCTGCGGAGGTCTCATCAAGATGCGCCAGGAGAGGGCGCTGCTGCACAGCAGTTGAAGCTCTCGGGCGGCGAAGACAAGCGTGGCTGCCCACTCTGGATAGTTTCCTGGCCGGTTTCCCTGGCACTGGCTGGCAGAGAGCCATACTTAGTATATATATGGGCCGTGGAGGGGATGCTGGCCCAGGAGGCTCAGAGGGAAGTCTGAGGTGCTGGAGCAAACCTCCGACAGGCTTGATGAGAACCCATCTAAGGTGTCTGGGCGCTGTGTGCTTGGACGGGAGGTGACACCCTGATCTCTTCACCTGTGTAGTCCTATGGAAGCCTCGAACGTCCCAGCCTTTCTTCCACCTCAGGGCTCCAAGCTGGCCTAGTGCTGCATGCTGTGTTTATACCGTCTTGTTGAATTCCGAGCCAAGTCTCCACTGAGTAGGTGAGAAAAATGAGGTCCAGAGAGGTCAAGCGGTTTCTCCAAAGCCACGCAGCGGTCAGTGGAGGATTATGGTCACATCTGCTGTTTGACTCCAGGGCCCATGCTATTAAACGAGTGCTGCCTCCTGGCCAGGACTCGGAGAGTAGAAGTGACTTTTCCAAGGGCCCTTGCCCCCACCCCACCCCTCTGCATAAATGTCCTGACTTCTCTGCCTCGGTTTCCCCACCGTCACTGAGATGGTATTAACACTGTCCAACTGTGTCATATTCATAGGACTTCTGCAACAGTTGAATCGAGGGAAAGCATAGCTTCCCCAAATACCATCCCAGTGCCCTGGGCTGCCCTCCGTCCTTTCCTCCCTGACAGGGTCCTGTGAACTCAGGTCCATAGAACTCTGAAATTCTGGGCTACTGTGATATCAGCTTGAAAATCAAGTGTGCTCCTTTCCCTTCCCATCAGAGTTAACCTGCTGGTCGAGGCTGGCTCTGTGGACATCTGAGCACAGGAAATGCTGCTGTCTGCCTGAGTAAAGGCCAGGCAGGTCAGGGGACCAGGCAGCCCAGGTTGGAGAAGTCTGGCATCAAGGGGTTCCTGCGGGAGTATAGAAGGAGGCACTGGCTGAGCACCTGCTATATGCTAAACTTCCTGGGACTTGGAGGAGCCTGGGTGTTGACAGCGACAGAAGAGTCAGTGTTTGAGGACCATTTACTCCCTCTTCTGCCATGCAGTGGTCTCCTCTGTCATGCACTCATCAAACATCAGATGCCGGGCTGGGGGAGATGCATAAACCTCACATCAGGCCTGGCCTTAAATAGAGGCCCAGAGGGGCCATCGGAAATTTGGAAGGCAGACCCAGCAGTCTTGGGAAGGAGCAGCATTTGAGCTGGAACTAAAAAGACAAGCTAAGTTGTGAGCAGTGGAGAAGAGCACAAAGGCAGAGGGATACTCAACCTGGGCTACCAGGTCCTCTGACCTGCCTGGCCTTCAATCAGGCAGACAGCAGCATTTCCTGTTCTTAGATGTCCACAGAGCCAGCCTCGACTCTCAGGTTGACTCTGATGGGAAGGAAAAGGGGCACATCTGAGCAGCACCAGGTGGGAGAACGCAAGGGGAGTCAGGAAGAGTTTTGTTCGCCCAAAGCCCCCATGGCTATGGGAGGGGAGGCTGGAAGTCTTGGAGTCTGGCTCCTGAGGACCCTGAATGTCAAGGGAAGAGCTAGGCCATGATTCTGTGGGCAGTGGTGTCTGCAGGCTAGCGGCAGTCCTCAGTCCTGCTGCTGCTCTGTGAGTGGATGAAAGGCCCATCTCTGGGGCCCGCTGCATCTGACCTGGTCGAACCTCCATAGCCCATGCAGAGGCTGGCTCAGGCTCCTTGCAACCAGCATTTGTTCTCTGCAGGGACCGAGTGGGCTTGCTCTGGGGAAGTTGAGGCCTGTGCCTGTCCAGCCCCTCAGAAGGGCTGTGATCCCCTTCAACACACCACCTGAGAGCAGGCAGTTCAGCCTTCCCAGCAGGAGCTCACTGGGCCATTTAATCTGCTGTGCCTAGACATCCTCATCTGTGTGATGGAAGTGATAACTACCTCACTCAAGCTACACCTAACTCACACTCCATGAGTCATTGCATGTCAAGTGCTCAGCACCATGATAGGCACACGGTAACACCCTCAGCAAGTCAAACCTCGCCATCCTTATGGCCTGTGTGTCCTGAGTGTTCCTGTCTGGGTCAGCACATGGACAGCTCCTAGCCAAGGCCTGTGGATGGGCCAGAAGCAAACTGCCCTTCCAGTCGAGCCAGCCCCTTATCGGGGATCTCTTCTGCACCAAATCCTTCTTGCAAACTACTTCCTCAAGAGATCTCTGCAGCATGGAAAACCTCCAAGGGTATCTTCAGCCTCATGAGCAGGGGAGGTTCCTCCAGCTCCCCAAGGGGCTGCTGACAGGTTGCTGCAAGGCTCTCGGCCCTACTTGGGTTCTGGATGGTGCACCCACGGGAAGAGAAGAAGGGACATGCCTTGGACCCAGCTTGGGCTGCACAAGGAGAGAGTGGCCCTAGTTTCTACCATACACAAAGATACCTCCCGACCCGTCTGTTCCTTTGGGGGTGGTGAGGGCCCACCGATGCCAACTCTTTGATGAGGCCTAGCTTCAGCCCTGTGAAAAATAAAGGGGAACAGTCCAATGGCCTCACCCCAAGAACAAAGCCAAGGAGTTTTCCTGGCAAGGGTACCTTAATTTCTTTATACTTCCATTGTACTCCAAACCCCGAATCCCCAAACCCAACAGGAAGTCATAGGAGTGCCTTGGAAATAGCAAAAATTAGATTTTCTAAAAAGAATGTCTTTGTTGTAACTCTAGTGTGACGGATTGATTTCTCTCTCCTTCTCAAGATCCCTCATCCTCGGGAAGCAGGTGAGCAGGTGAGGTCATTCCAGACAAGCAGCCATCGGGGGGAGGAGCCGGGATCCAGCAGTGAGAGGTGTGTGAGTGTCAAAGGGGGAGGAGCCGGGATCCAGCAGTCA